TGGAACGCGCTCGGGCACACGGGCTCCCCGGGGAGGGGCCGGACACAGACGGGGCTCCAGGGCTGCGGGTGCACAGGTCGCACTGCCAGGGCCTGGCCCAGGTGCAGGCCTTGGTAACGGGAAGACCCGGCTCCCTGCTCTCTGCTGCCAACACTGCTGGGGGACTGAGACCAGAGGCCTGAGACTGGGCGGGGCCGGGCGGGTCCGAGGGCCAGTGCTGTGCTTTATGGTCTCGATTTCTCATGGCTGTTTTAGTAGCAGGTTCTTAACCACGTGGTATTCTCCCTCGGGACAGTGTGGCCTCTGAAAGAGGTCGCAACTAATAGGAAAAATGAGTTTTATTGCTTAACTGTGGATTCGATAAATCGCATTCTTTCTGTTCCCGTTGCTCCGTGTTTTCCGAGTTGACGAGGGGACGAGGCCAAGCTTCTCTCCAGCAGGCTCTGGGCGTTGGGAGTAATCTGAAATGCTCTCCCTTAACATAGAGACGGGCCAGACACACACGGCAGAGCGCGGCTGGTTTACACTCACTCTGCAGGGATAAATATTGAGCTGGTGGTTTAATTCAGGCTTCGTCAGCCCGGGCGCCATGGACGTGAGCTGGTCAGGCCTGGGCCTGCACGGGAGGGTTGGCAGTGCCCTGGCCTCACCCCGCTTCCCCAGCCTCGATACCCCAAGTGCTTCTAGTAACCCAGAGTCCCCACATGGAGCGAGATGGGGGCAAAGCCTTCCTTGATGGGATCTCCCGGTTTTAAATAGACTGAAAATAATCACTTTCTCCTGGGCAGTGCTGACGGTTTTACTGAAACCTGGGGCACCTCAAAAGCTTTTGATCACTAAATGGGAACTAGTGGTTATTTATAAATTCCCTTGTAGAAGGTTGATTTAAATATATGATATTACATGTTATATGTATATATAATTACATGTATGTTATTGCATGTTACAAGGAAAAGCTACTCTCTGTGTTGCCACATACTTACCTGAACCCTCTGCTGCTCTCACTCTGGCGTTCGCTGAGTGGCGCTGCTGCCTTCTCATTTATAAGGACAACGCTGGCTTTTGGCTGATGCAAAGAATGTCACACGGACCGGGGACGTGGCCGGACGTGCCGGTGGTTTGCACGTGGTTGTGACGTGGACTCCACGCAGACCCCAAGCCGGTCTTGTCACACCCATACCTCCGATTTGGAGCCAGCCCGCTAGTCTCCACGTGCAGTCTGTCCTCTGTCCACGAGGCAGGGCCAGCTATAATCTGCAGGTTTGCCTCGAGGACTAAAACTCAGAGCTTGAAATACTTAGTTTTATTTATTATTTTTTAGTCATGATAGCGCACATGCAGGGAGAGCCAGAGAGCAGAGACAGAGCCAGAGGGCGAGACGCGCCCTGCACAGGCCGATCCGCCTGCAGCCAGCTCCGTCCCCGGGCTCACGAGACCCCGGCACCTACAGCTCTGCGCTTTCGGCTGCTCACCAGGCTGCGGGTGCGGCTGGCGTGTGGCTTCCGCCTCTGCAGTGCACATGCTGCTGCCTGCTGCCGAGGCTGGCCCGAGTCCTCCGAGTCGGACGGCTTTTCGGTGCCCCGCTCCCTCTGCGTCCCCCATGGCCACAGGACCGTGCGTCCTCGGAGTTCCAAGTCACTACAGAAACTGGAGACAAGTCGGCTTCTTCCTTTTATTTCCTTCCAGTTTTTGACATAGGGCATGTGTTCATGCCACAGAGGGAGAAAGAGAGAGAAAATGAGAACTCGCCCGTCGTGGGGCTGCCTCTCCTTCGTTCTCCTGTTGGGATTTGCGGCATGCACACACATGCGCCTGGTGTGTTTTCCACACTGCTGGGTCCAGGACGTGAACTTCATCGTCAGCCATGGGAGTTGAGCGCCTTAACCACCGTGCGCCGACTGGCCAACAAGTGGGAACACTTCACGGGTCCGGCAGAGCAGCCTGTCCTCGTCACACGTGCTAACGCGGAACGGCTGTGGCGTCCACACGCGAGTTCCAGTAGCTCACCTGATCACGCTGGCCTGGAGGACAGGGGTTTGAGACGCGCTGCCTGGGCCGCCATGGAGGGAGGCCCGCTCCTCTCCCGTCGTAGCAGCAGAGAGGAGTGGCGCCCGCAGTTGGAGAGTGGCAGGACTCTGCCTGTCTGCCCCGTGGGCAGCAGAATGGTGGCGAAGGGCACTTCCCCGGAGCTGCTGCCATGAGGAGGTGCCCGCTCACTCCCAGAGTGCACGGCGGCCTCCCAGAGCTGGCACAGCACCCACTCACCGTGTCGGGCCACTCAGAACACGGACCCGAAGAGCAACGTGAGGTCCTTGCGCACCGTCTCACTCCCAGGAGTCCCCCACCCTGACGCCCGGGTACAGATGGCTCCGTGGTGGGGTCTGCAGGGGCAGGTGGGTAATGAGAGCTTCAGCAGGTCTCTGCTCAGTCGCTCAGCGTCCCCAGGATGCGGGAATGCTGCGTGCAGACTCCGGTGGTGTCCGCGCAGTCGGTGGTGGTGAACGTTGGAGACTCGCAGCCTGCCTGACTCGTTTTCCTGCACTGTCGTCCCGTCCGATCCTTCGTGTGCTAAAGTACCGCACAGGAGCCAGGCTTTGGGCTGCAGGAGTTGGAGCGGGAGCCGCTGCCCTGCCAGCCGCGTGTCCTCACTCCTGCCCGCTGCTCTGGGGCCTGCGTTTGTGACCGGGCACTGCTCAGGGCGGCCCTGGCCCAGGTGGGTTTGGCGCACTTCTTCCTCCAAAGTAAAAGGGAAGTTCTGTGCCTGCCTCAGCAGCAGACGCGCTCCAGATCTCAGTCCAGACGGTGGGAACTCACAGCATGTTCGGGACTCCACTGGCAGCCCGGGCAGGCTTGCCCTATTTACCTGGATGAGGCGGATGGACGTGGTTCTCTGAGTTCCCCACCGCGCTCTCTGGGAGCGAGCTGCTGGCTACGGGAGCAGGTCTGTTAGCGGCGGACACACGTCTGCAGGCACCCGTCGGCTCTCGTTGAAATCCGCCCTGCGCACTCGGGTTGGCTCGGGGGTCGGTGGTGTGCCGGGGTTTCCGTGGTGGAGTGTTTGTGACACTTCATGCAAAGGAAATGAAACTACGCAGTGGAAGTGTGTGCTAGTGTTCACAGTCGGCCGCGTGTTTCAGCAGTTGGTTTGTGGGAACCAGAGTACCGCCGAGCTCCCGTCAGTTCAAGTTCTCCGGGAATTCAGACCGCGGCTCGGAGTGCACGAGAGCCTCTGTTGAAATTTTCCTTTATCATTCGCTGCGTGTACTGACAGCTTTATCTTACTATTACTTATTAACAATAGCAGAATCTAAAAGAACTCAGGAAGAGGGGACATGTCTCTTCTTTGAACCTTGGAGAAGAGAGATGGGCGAGTCGGGGTTGATTAACTTGCCGGAAGTCGGCCCGGGAATGCAGAGCCGGGCGTGTCCCTGGCTGGTCGGGCATCTACACCGCCTGCCATTGGCGAGGCCAGAAAGCTGTGGTGGATCTCTGCCCTCACCGGACCCTTGCACCGGGTGTGACCCCACATGGAGCTGTGACAGTCACGCCGCTCCTTCTGCGGCTCTTTCTACTGGGGCTCAGTTAGCCTCTGCTTCCTCTTCTGCTCTTGAAAACGTTTCTTTTCTTGGATCAGTGTATTAGTATGATTTCTGTTTGGGCCCATGAATTAACATGTGGTAATCTATACATAGGAAGTTTCAGGTTTGCTTAATCTAATTTACTTCTTTTTTTCTTTAAGAATTATATACTATTATTATTTTTCAATTTTGACCAGAGAGAGAGAGAGAGAGAGAGAGAGCTGCCAGGTCCAGGACTTGAACCGTGGTCAGCCATGTGGGAGTCTAGCGCCTTTAACCACCATGCCACCTATTAGACCCTCTAATTTGAAAAAAGAGGGACCAACAGATGGCGTAATGGCTATATCGCTGGACTCCCATGTAGTCAACCACGGTTCGCGTCCCGGACCCGATGGCTTAAACTCACGCCGGGCGTGTGTGCGTGCGTGCCCAAGATCCCGAGAGGAGAATGGAGGAGAAGGGATTGTGAGGTGGCCATCCCCCCGGGTGTTCTTTCTCACTTTCTCTTTCTGTCCCTCAAGTGAGCACATGCGCCCTATGACAAAAATCTCTCTTAAAACAAAAAAAGTAAAAAAGGAAATCATAGCTTTTTTTTTTTTTTTAAAGCTTTGTTTCTTCCACGAGAGAGAGACAGACAGAGATAGAGACAGACACCCGCAACAGAGTCTCCATTCCACGATCCCCTGGCCTCAGCTGGCATGGACCGTGGCCTGCATGTGGTCGCACATTGCTAGGAAGCCCTGAGGTGAGGGCCTGGGACCTTTCCACGTGGCTCACCCTCGGCCCCAGGGAGTCAGCTCTCCATGCTGGGAGGCAAGACTTGGAGTTTGACCTGGTAGAGGTTTGGCCAGGAGGTCGGCCGCAGCGGCACGGTGGTGGCTGGAAGCCACATGGTGGCCGGGGGTGGCTCTCAGCTGGCTTGTATGTGCCGAGTGCACCTGGTGTGCCCACGAGCCTGGCTGGTGGAAAGGCCTGGAGGGAGGCCATGGCATGAGACCCTGTTGAGAGAGCTTGTCTCGCTCTGTTTCATGAAAGAAACTTAAAGGATTTTGCAAGTTGTTTCTGTGTTTTTATTTCTCCTCCCTCATTGGAGCATCCCGGTGGCCTTCGGTCTCCCTGAGCCCGTTCAGGGGCGTGTTAGCTGCTCCAGCCCCATCGGGCACAGGGCAGGGCATGAGCTCATGCGTCTTGGCCAGGACCGTCCTCGGTGTGGGTTCTCACTGAACGCAGCCCCGAGGTCCATCTGCTCGGCAGCCGAAGAGCAGCGCGAGCGATTGCCGACTGGGCACCGGGCTTCTCCGTGTTCGGGAGACCTACGGAGGGAACTGCAGACCCTGTAGTCTCCAGCCTCGGCTCTTGGGGTTCTCTGCCGAGAGACGCAGACCCAGCCGTCCGCAGCTTTCTCCCTGCCCTGTCTTCTAGGTTGCACGTATGAAGGGGACAGCTACAACAGCTCCTCCAGCTGGCAGAGTCCGGCCCAGCCCTGCGTCCTGCTCCACTGCCAGGTACAGCCACGGGGCCCACGGGGCCTTTCCCCCAAGGTCATCAACAGGAAGCCAGGCCAGGCCTGGGACACAGCACTGTGATGCTTGCCACCCCAGGGCCCATGGACGACAAGACCACGTAGGACGTTCTTGTAGAAACACAGCCGAGCTGTCCACGTGGCGCATGCCTGTACCCCCGCCCCGGGCACACTCCCGTACCTCCCGCCCTGGGGCACACTCTCGTACCCCCGCCCTGGGGCACACTCACGTACCTCCTGCCTCGGGGCTCAGTCCTGTACCTCCCCCCCCACCCCCACCCTCCTGTACCCCCACCCCGGGACATACTCCTGTACCTCCTGCCCTGGGGCACACTCCTGTACCTCCCACTCCACGTCGCATTCCCGTACCCCCGCCCTGCGTCACACTCCTATACCCCTCACTCTGGGGCACACTCCCGTACCCCTCACTCTGGGGCACACTCCTGTACCTCCCACCCCGGGGCACACTCCCGTACCCCCTCCAGGTCACACTCCTTGCCTTCGTGGGTTCCTCCCGCTCGCGTATGGGGATGAAGCGGGACTGGGTTGTGATGGAGGGCCTCTTGGCGCCCCGTAGCCCGGGAGTCAGGACCGAGGGTGGCTCTCCTCACACTTCCCTCCTTTCCAAGGAGGAGGCTGAGCTGCTGGCTGGTATGATATCCTTTTGTTCTGTAGTGAAAAAGCCAGCCTCCCTGACGCTGGTTACCGGGGCCCTCCCTGCTCCGCCGGCCTCCCAGGGCCTGTGCCCTCGCTGCTCTGGAGCGTGGGCCTCGCCTGAGCACGGGGACAGGCAGCGGCTGGCACCTAGGAGGTCTCGTTCCTTCTGTGCCACCACCTCCCTGCAGACGCCTCTCTCAGACACATCGGTTACTGGGGGGCCAGGCGCTGGTGAGAGGCGGCCCTTCCATGCTCACCTTTTCCTTAGCTCCACTCCTCGCTCATCCCAGCAGAATGGGGTAGAGTTGTCCGTCCTGCCTCATGAGGTGATCTAAGCAGTGAGCCTGTCAGCGGAAACACTTCCGGGGCTGGCCAGATCCCACATGGCCAACTGAGGTTCAAGTCCTGGCCCTGGCAGCTGGAAATCACGCTGGGCACATGTGTGTACATGCCCGAAATCATGGCAGGACAGGGCTAAGGAGGAGAAGGGGTGCAGTGCGGCCATGCCGGGGGCTTCCCCTGTATCTCTCTTGGTCTGTCTCTAGAGTGTGCACACCCTCTAGAGATTAAAAGAAAATGAACAAACAAAACCCAAACCGGTTCTGGTGGGCCTTTCTGCGGGGCTCAGGCAGGAGGCGCTCCCACACAGCACAGAGCCACGTGGGTCCCTGGCGTAGAGCTCGGGATGACCTGAGTGTAAGGCCAAAGTGCCTCTCGGTCTACCTCCGCCTCTCCTCAGAGAAGGAAAGAAGCTGAAAACAAGACAAAACAGCAACGTTTCTGGTGGAGTGCGTGCATGTAGCAGGTGCAGCTAGGGACAGGCGGGTCTCAAAAAGCCACTGTCCAGTCCCTTGGGGTGGACTCTTCCCTGATCTCACGTCCTCCTGCCAGAGCAGTTCCAGCTTGGAGAACTCACCTTTGATTTCCTGCCTCTAGCTCCTTACTGAAAGAGGACGACCTAAAGGTCCCAGACAGGAAATGCATTGTGGGAACCCGCTGGAACCCACAGCTGGGTTGCAGGCACTGGAGGAAAATCGGCCTTGGGCCATCGTTCAGTGACAGTGACAGCACGGGTCCCTTTCTGATGTGGTAGATTCCTGTGTTCCGGGAGGTTTTCTTTTCTTCCTCAAATGGGAAAAGACCATAGTCAGTTTCCCTAGTGGGACCCTCAGGCCGGCGTGGCATGAGGACTGGTAGACATGACCCCCCTGGGAGCCAGGGCCGGAGCAGGGGCGTCACGTCCGCGTCCACAGCTGCCAGGTCGTCCGCTTGTTTCTAGCCCGTGCGCCCCCTCCTCAAAAGGCAATGAGACACGAGCACCGATTTCCAAAATGGCAGAGCACATGGGAGTGGAGAAAACCCTTCAGAGGCCAGCTCTGGACGACCGATTTCCAAAATGGCAGAGCACATGGGAGTGGAGAAAACCCTTCAGAGGCCAGCTCTGGACGACCGATTTCCAAAATGGCAGAGCACATGGGAGTGGAGAAAACCCTTCAGAGGCCAGCTCTGGACGACCGATTTCCAAAATGGCAGAGCACATGAGAGTGGAGAAAACCCTTCAGAGGCCAGCTCTGAACGCCAACGTAGAGAGTGTCCTGCTTGGGACGGGGGCCGCAGTGTCCCCAGCGGACGTTAGGGTTCCAGAAGGGTGGCCGATTGCAGTGCTAGTGTGGGTGGCTCCTGTCCTCCGCTGGTGGTGGCGACCTGATGGGGAGAGGGCGGCCTCAGGGCAGCTGCGGCCCTCATGCTGTGGTCTCCCGCTGGGACCTCAGCTCCCTGGCGAATCCCTGTCCGAGGAGCTGTGGCCTCTGGCTTCACTTTCGGCTCATGGATGAGCAGGTGGTGACCCGTGCGTAGGTTCCAGGTTCACAAGGGGAAAGTGCTCAAAGAACAGTGACCACTCACAGCTCACGGCCACAGCGCGCGAGTGCGGAGAGCCGCCAAGCGTGACTGCCAGCCAGCAGGGCTTACACGCGGTCAGGGGGGTGTGAGAGAGCGGGGCTTACACGCTAGGACAGGACAGGGGACCGTGAGGGAGCAGGGCTTACACGCTAGGACAGGGGCCGTGAGGGAGCGGGGATGGGCCGCTCTCTGGGTCCCAGCATGGCTCGGGCTCTGGGGCTCAGCGCCCTGGCCTGGGGCCCGGCCACGCTGTGCTTTCCCCTTTGACTCCCCCTCGTAGTTACTTTTCAGAAGCGTGACTCCTCGGGGACGCCGGATAACCGGGCGTGTGGCGTTGTTTTCCAGGAAGGCGTCGTCACGGAGTCCGAGGTGCGCTGCGTGGTTCACTGTGACAACCCCTCGGAGCACCAGGGAGCGTGCTGCCCGACGTGTCCAGGTGAGGCTGGGAAGGGGCAGGACGTCCTGCTCCAGCTCAGCACGCTCGAAATCTGCGTCCCCCCAAGAACGCGAGTCCCCTCCCGCCTAGACCTCCCTCTGCACCCGTGTGCTGCCCGGGCTCAGAGCTCCCGGCCTGGAACTGCGCGGTGGCCCCTCGCGTGCCTCGTAGGAGCACGGCGTGATGTGGTGCCTGGCGTGTGAGGCTCTGGGCTCGGGGCTCCTGTCCGCCCACGGGGACGGCTGATGCTCCTTCTGGGAGGGAAGCCTTGGCCACCCTTGCCCCAGAGGCGCCCTGTCCCTGCTGCCCTGCCGCACCCTGGCCGAGGTCGCTGTGCCGACGGGGTGGCCGGCCGGGTCTCCGTGTGCCCTCAGCCCGGCTGTGGTCCAGCACGCTGCTCCGTCTTTCCTCCAGGGCCCCCGCCTCAGCGGCAGCAAAGGCTACCCCTTCCCACGGCCCGCGGTTTCCTCCGACTTCTCTGAATGGGATTCCAGCGGCCTCCAGCACCCCTTCTGGGCGAGTCTAGGGATCTCAGTGGGTGGGGGTCTCTGCTCTGGTCAGCCACCGGCCGCGGTCTCTGACAGCTGTCCCGCAGTCGGGGTCCTCCTAGAGGACACCCCAGTGGCGATGTCACAGCTACTGCGTTTGCTTTTAGGGCTGGCCTCCCCAGGCCGTCGGCTGTTCGAACCTCCCTGGGGACAGCTCTGCGCCCTGGCGGAGGCCCTGCCCTGCAGGCCCCTGCCCCCTCCTGGTGGCCCCAGAGCAGTGGGGACCTGAGTGCCTCGGGGCTCATCCTTTCCTTGTGGGTGAGTGACAGGGAGAGCAGGGCAGAGTGAGGAGAGCAGGGCAGAGTGAGGAGAGCAGGGCAGAGTGAGGAGAGCAGGGCAGAGTGAGGAGAGCAGGGCAGAGTGAGGAGAGCAGGGCAGAGTGAGGAGAGCAGGGCAGAGTGAGGAGAGCAGGGCAGAGTGAGGAGAGCAGGGCAGAGTGAGGAGAGCAGGGCAGAGTGAGGAGAGCAGGGCAGAGTGAGGAGAGCAGGGCAGAGTGAGGAGAGCAGGGCAGAGTGAGGAGAGCAGGGCAGAGTGAGGAGAGCAGGGCAGAGTGAGGAGAGCAGGGCAGAGTGAGGAGAGCAGGGCAGAGTGAGGAGAGCAGGGCAGAGTGAGGAGAGCAGGGCAGAGTGAGGAGAGCAGGGCAGAGTGAGGAGAGCAGGGCAGAGTGAGGAGAGCAGGGCAGAGTGAGGAGAGCAGGGCAGAGTGAGGAGAGCAGGGCAGAGTGAGGAGAGCAGGGCAGAGTGAGGAGAGCAGGGCAGAGTGAGGAGAGCAGGGCAGAGTGAGGAGAGCAGGGCAGAGTGAGGAGAGCAGGGCAGAGTGAGGAGAGCAGGGCAGAGTGAGGAGAGCAGGGCAGAGTGAGGAGAGCAGGGCAGAGTGAGGAGAGCAGGGCAGAGTGAGGAGAGCAGGGCAGAGTGAGGAGAGCAGGGCAGAGTGAGGAGAGCAGGGCAGAGTGAGGAGAGCAGGGCAGAGTGAGGAGAGCAGGGCAGAGTGAGGAGAGCAGGGCAGAGTGAGGAGATGGGTGAGTGACAGGGAGAGCAGGGCAGAGTGAGGAGAGCAGGGCAGAGTGAGGAGAGCAGGGCAGAGTGAGGAGAGCAGGGCAGAGTGAGGAGAGCAGGGCAGAGCAGCGTCCCCCCGCGTCTACTTCGCTGGGTCCCGGGCGGTCTCGCAGCTTCCCTTTCACGGGACCCTCTGACACTTGCGTGTGGGGCGAGCCTGCGCAGGCTGCAGCTGGTCACTGCGACCCGGCCGTCGGTGCTGTGGGACTGTTTGCTGCAGCGCCTCCTCGCTGGCCACGCCTGGTCCAGTGGGACGTAACCATGGCCTTGACCCTGCGGGTGTGAGGACAGCGGCTCCCCGCACGTCCACCCACCTGGGCCATGGAGGCTGAGTCTCAGCCCTAGGCTGCACCCCAGGGGTTCCTTCAGCGCTCTGAGGGTGGACTCCAGCAGGCCTCCCGAGACCTCCGCGTGGCTGTGTGTGGAGGTCGTTCTGTGCCACGTGGCTCTGACAGTCACCTCAGCCCTCACGTCCGAGCAGCCGGCCGCCCTGCTGACTCTGGCGTCCACCCACCTGGGCCATGGAGGCTGAGTCTCAGCCCTAGGCTGCACCCCAGGGGTTCCTTCAGCGCTCTGAGGGTGGACTCCAGCAGGCCTCCCGAGACCTCCGCGTGGCTGTGTGTGGAGGTCGTTCTGTGCCACGTGGCTCTGACAGTCACCTCAGCCCTCACGTCCGAGCAGCCGGCCGCCCTGCTGCCTCTGGCCCCGGGGCCCCCCATGCGCAGCCTGTGGGCCTGTAACGGAACTCCGGTGATGAGAACCGGCCCTGGGGTGGCCGTGTCCATGCGGAGAGCTGTAACCGTGTGCGCTGACCCTGCAGGCTCATGGGCAACAGAGTGGGCCTCGCGGCTGGAGGGTCCTGTCCGGGAAGTTGCTTCCTTCACTCTGGTTTTTGGTCGAGTTCCCGGGAAGGAAGGGGCTTGCAGTTACCCAGTAAGGGGCGAGTCCTGGCTGCTGTCCTCACAGGCAGAAAGCAGACCTGCTGACAGCAAGTGCCCGAGGGCAGAGGCGAGCTGGGAGCTGGCCTCCTCTGTCCTCTGTCCACACCCCGATGTTCCTCTTGGGTCCAGGTCCCCTGAGAGGCCAGTGCCACACACCAGCCCCTTGACACCCGGAGGCTGCTTTCTCAGTTCCGGGGTCAGGAGTCAACTTTGCTTTCTACCTTAATCCCAAGGGCTTCCCAGTGCCCTGGGAGGGGAGCCTCAGGCATGTCGCTGGTGATTCAGGACTGCCATCTGCCATTGATCAGGGTGGCATTTTGCATAATGACAGACACGCAGTCTGTGGTCAGTGTCTTCCTGACACGGGTTTCAGAGCATTCTTGGTCGTCTTTTCCCTGCTGTCTCTGCTCGAGGATGGTGGGTCGTGCTGGGAACAATTTGCAGAGAGCTTTTAGTAAAATTCTCTTAGTTGTCAGTTGCAGACCATGTGGTCCACCTGCTGGTGACCGTATGGCAGCGTCGGTTGTGCCAACATCAGGAAAGAACCAAAGACACTTTGTTGGGTGTCCCTGGGGAGAATGGGACAGGCAGTGCCCCAGTAGCCAGGCAGGGCTGCAGCCCATGGGGTGCCCACGCAGCCGGGCACTCCGCCCTTGCCAGTAGCAGGGGTGCGGGACCGCCTCCGCCAGGTGACCCCGAGAGTATACCACCCGTGTGCATGTGTGTCTTCAAAGAGCTTTTGCTATGGGGCGTGTGGGCTTGTGGAGAGAGACAGAGACAGAGACAGTGAGAGAGAAAGTGAGTAATTACCCCTGGGGGATGGCCACGCTGCAGTCCCTCTCCTCCATTCTCCTTCCCAGCCCCCGTTCCCGGGAGAGTCTGAAAAGCCACTGGGCCTGGGACTCAAACCGCAGTTGGCCACGTTGGGGTCCAGCGCCCTTAACCACCACGGCAGCTGCCAGCCCCATAGACACATACTTTTACAACCAGTGCCTTGGCCCTGCTGCCTCGGACTCTGCAGTGCCCAGCCACGCGCCCCAGCCACGCGCCCCAGCCACGCGCCCCAGCCACGTGCCCCAGCCACGCGCCTCGCTGTCCTGTTTTCTAGCACCTTTCTGGCCTCGTGTTGGCCTTTCACATTTTGTGTTCTTTTATCATTTTGTTTTACTTCCTGTGCAACAGTCATGTCTGCGGTTAAAGAGGACAAGCTGGGGGAGGGGGAGATGGGCGGGGGTGTGGGAGGTCGTGGGG